AAAGGAAGCTGAGCACGCACCGATGCGGATGTTGCTTGAAGTAGCAGTGGGTTCCTGCGCTGGAATGCAGTGTAGCACCATTCTCTCTTCATCATGTCATTTTTCCTAAGCACCAAGGCTTTTCCTGCTTTGTATATTTGGCAAGAAACCTTTGCATTTAGATAAGGAGTAAAGCCTGGGATCAGATCTGAACTCTGCAGCAGAAAGGATCAACGTTTTAATGAATCAAATATATTCTAAACCAAATGTAACCTCTTAGTGCTCAAAAATCTGAGCAAGAATAACTTAAAAAAAAAAAAAAAAAAAAAGCCAACAATCCCACTCATTCCATCTCTCTCTGGCTGTGAACTGGCCACAGGCCAATCAATTAGCCTGATTTTTTTCCCATATTCAACACCCTTCCACCTGCCAATTTGCAGGCTGTGCATTGTCAGTGAGTAGTTCCCCCTGCTATAGCCAAGCTCTCTTGTCAGGGCTCTTTGCAGGGAAGCAGCTTCGCTGGAAAAGTGCTCACCCCAAGGCCACACACAGCATTACATGGGCTGGAGCAAGGCAGGATGCTCTAGCTGGCACATTCTGCATTAGTGCCAAAGGGTTTGGATGGACATAGGATGTTTGACATCCAGCAGCAGCAGCTACAGAGGCCAACACAGCCCAAACTGCAAGGAGCGTCTAACAAAGCCTGTGCAGTCCTGGCAGGCCTGGGAAGATTGATTTAATTCCTCTTTGTTCATTGGTCACTGTGCAGGGAGTACTTAGGCATGAGCCACACCACCCTGCACTGTGCAGAAGCAGATTTTCCCTTCAGCAATGCACCTCCCAGGTCATGGATGGAGGTGGGGAAGTTCTGGTGATGTGGCAGCAGGGCTGGGAGGAATCAGCTTGGGAAGATGGTCCTCCTGGAGCTGCATTTATTACTGCCCTTAATCACAAGGGTGCAAAAGGAATGGGAAAACCTGAAATCCAAACCCAGCTATCCCTAGATATAGTCAGCACTCAGCAAAGCATTGCTGTCACCAGATTGCAATGGTGGGCACGCACCCAGTGTGTGCAGATGTTTGCTGGGCTTGGCAGGGCTGGGAGGCTGCGAGGGTGAGACCTCAGCTACTCTGCTCCAGGCTGAGCATGTCCTGCAGAGCAATGCCTGGAGTGCAGGACAGAAGGGTGCTGCACCAAGGACCAGGCAGCTGGTCCTGCACACACAGCCCTTGCACATGCTGTGGTTATGCTGCTGATGAACATAATGCATGAACACTCAGGTCTTGCAGGCACCCAGAACTCTCATATCTCCACCTGAGACTCCACATCTTGCCTTTACCCACGTGCTGTTACCTATGCTCATACAGAAGATCTTCCTCTGTGACTGATCTACCCAGCGCCCTGAAAAGCTCTCCTAAGGCTTGAAGCCAGATGAAATCCCCTCTGCCCATCCAAAGCCTTCTCCTCCTCCGACATTGTTTTCATCTCCCCCTCCCCCTCTCCTTTTTTACTCTCAATAAAAACATAATTACAGGCTTTTAAAAAAAGCAAATTATAGTGACATACTTTAATTATCTCCAAGCAATGAAGGACTAAATTACACAGTCAGGGAATCGGAGGTTACCTAAAAATAAAAGCAAGAAGCTTCATTAAATGCTAATTGCAGCTTTTGCCGCTGAAGTGAGATTTCAACACAATCTGCCATTGACTCTCTTGGCCATACAGAGAACATCACTGCTGGGGCTGACCCTCCATCCGTGGCCATGGATGCTGTGCTGAGGGCAACCCAAGGGATTGGCACTGGGATGCTCCCACCTCCCTTTGTGGCCCCATTGCTCCCAGCACTGTGCATCTTCCATCTGCTGATGGTTCCAAGGCGTTGCCCACCCCCTCAGTATCACCGATGCATTTATCACAGCTCTCCTGCCTCCTCCCTGCCCTCCCATAGCCAAGGAAAGTTGTGCTCAGACTCTCTTCTGGTGCCTTCAAAGCTCCCAGCGGTGCTACAAGAGCCTGATGCTCTGCGGCAAAGGTTTTGGTTGGCATGGCTCTCGCTGGGAGTGAAGCTCCCTGGTGCTGAGATCAGCCCAACCTGCTCACAACAGAGCACAAACACAAACTCTGCTGCTTTCTGCTCCCAGCGCAAGCTGTGCCTTGTTCCAAGCTCAGAGCTCCAACTGGGACTGTGCAGTTCTCCCAGTGGGAGAGGAGATGGCTGGGGTCCTGGAGCAAGAGATACGCCATTGGTGTTGCATCCTCCACCTTCCCAATCCACCTGCTTCTTCCAGATTTGCTTACACATGATTTCTGCTATGGCTTCAACAGGAGGGTTCCAGCCCCGGCTGGTGGGCAACCGAGAGACGAGGCTGAGAAATCTACAGAGAAATGATTTTGTGTTTCCATCTCCTATGGAGTTGGCCTAATTGCGTCACTGAAGTCTGTAATTTGCCTCTTGCAGAACAGAGTTAATGATGGGCTCCACGCTGCTGCCTCGCACGAAGCATGCACACACAACTCCAGGACCTAACACACAACAGAAAGGGACCCCAAAAGCATTGAGGGGGAGCTCAGAGGAGGAGGTGGAGGATGAGACTTGAGCAGGTAGACCAGGGAGGCAGCGCTGCCGTGGGTTCCTCCTCCATTTCTCAGCTTCCATTAGCAGTGAAGAAACGTGCAGGCCAACCCCAGGGGGAACTCGAGCAATTAGTGCTATTTAAATTCAACAGTCCTTCACAGGAATAAAAGAAAAATCAGAGCAATGCTTTTAAGATGGGAAAGAGGCAAGTAGAACAGCAGCGCAGATTTCAGTACAGGGACCAAAAATACGTACATAAAGCATCAAAAACCAGGAATTCCCCCCACCAGAACACTCAGTATCTATCTTGCCTTCCAATATGTTAAGCAAAACTGAAATCAGACCCTAAGAGATGCCAGCTAGCTCCCGAAAATGCCCCAGCAGCCTCTGCAGATAGCAGCTCCGCAGCCCAGATCTGCAGCGCTCTATATCCATCTCAATTGCTGATAGACTGCTCCCTTTTAATTAGCTTTCATAATCAAATAAGCGTCTAGAATTAAGCGGCACTGTGTCACGAAATGCCATACAAAATTAACCAGCCGTGTTCGGAGGTCACTGCATCTGCCAGCGCTGGGAGGGACGCAGGTCTGTTTAGCGGCGTGCAGGAATGGTGCCAGCAAGGGTGGGTTTTGAGTGGATAAAAATGGGGCCAGTTAAAATTCCGTTCCAAGACCAGCGAGGTTGGACTTGAGCAAATATTTTGTGTGTCTGCTTAAGAGCATCTTTCCATCTTTTAGGCTGCAAGTCTGTAAGGAGTAAGACTGAATTGCAGCAAAGCATGCTTACACCAAAATAAGTGCCCACATGAGGACTCTTTTGATTTAACACTCCACCAGATCCATCAAGAAATCAGAGTAGCTATTGTGTTCAAACAGGGCCTGAAGCAAGAGGGGGACATGAATCTGCTTGAAACTACATTCAAAAATTGGCCGAGTGACTCCTTGCTCAAGCATCAGAAGCACCGCTTTGGGATTGGCCCTTGGAGCCCAGAGCCCACCATCCCTCCAGCCCTTAGTACAGCTCAGATCCCTTTCTGCTACAACAGCTGCCTGGGCACAGGGCTGGCTTGGATCTTCCTCCTGCTCCCCAGCTGTCTCCAGCTCTGCATTGTGCTGTGAGCCTCCCCAGATCATCAGAGACCAAATGAGCACGAGGATCTGCTGGGTGCCAGCAGGTATTCTCCATTTACATCTCCTCTGGAGGACTCAGAGCATCCCACAGGAGGAGAGCAGCCCTCATAGGAGCAAGGAGGTGCCGTAATTAAGGTGGGATCAGCCATCCCCGTCACTGTCAGGCAGAGTTTGGGGTGGAAAGCTGCTTGTAAAACCAGCAGATTGGTAACTCAGAAACAGAAGCAGAGTCAGAGACATCAACTCAGGTTTTCTGGGAGCCCTCTGAACCAAGCAGCATTTCGCATCCGATCAGACAGTGATGGATGTAGCAGGAGCGGAGCAATTTTTCCTCCTGAGGAGCTCTTTTGACAAGTGTGATCTTATCAAAGTTCCAGGCTTTTCATTATATCCCTTTTTTCTCTCCTACCTCCTGCCTTCCAGCCGTGTTCTGCCCTCCCCACACTGGCAGGGAGCAGTGCAGTGCTGACGGCTGACGGTCCCTGCAGCACTCAGAGCAGCACTGAGACCTCTCCTGGGGGATGCAGGCACAGGAGTGGGGCTAGGGGCTGCAATCAGGTCTAGAAACACCCCAAACTGGATAACTTCACTGGGAGGAATACAGCTAAAGGGATGGGAGGACACCTCAGCAATCTGCCTCTGAGGATGGGATGCTCCAGCCAGCTGCTGCAGCGCACCCAAAGCAATGGCCTGCCCCAAAGCTGGAGGCAACTTTTTGGGGCAGCAGCATCTGTCCATGCCTCATTTTCCCACTTCCCATCTGATCTCAGCAACAAAGAGGAGCTTGGAGCAACCACTCGTTACCTTGCCTTTCCAAGTGCCCTCCCAGAGCAGACAGACAAAGGCACAAGAAGTGACAACCCCAAAGCCCTCCAAAGCTGGGCACCATGTCTGGTGCAATGCGCTGCTCCCAAGGCTGGCACTGGGGCCACATCCTCCACGCAGGGAGCATCAGGACAGGGCTGCAGTGAGCCAGAGATGTCCTAATTAACCCAGCTGGGTCCTGATGGGGGTGCAGCTGATCTCACCTGTGAAAAGGGGAAAAAAGGGGGAAATACCTTTGTGCACACAGAGCCATCCTTGGGAAAGGGCGAACAAGGAGACCTCATCCCTTTCTGCCCCAGATTCCACCCCAAGCCATGAGCACATGTCCTGATGTGATGCTGAGCCATTTTCTGTCCCTGCCCCATCCCAATACATGGACCCACCCACAGAGAAAGGATGCTGAGCCCCATCCCAAACCTTCCCCCCATCCCAACTCCTTCACCAAACAGTCACCAAGAGGCAGCAAACGCCGAGTGCAAAACCATGGTCTTTTATTAGAAATCTCCTCGTATAAAAATGATCATGCTCTACACAGTCATCGAATAATTCATAAACATCCAGGCACTGAACTTTGTAATTCTGTGTGTGTGTGTGTGTTTTTGTTTTTTTTGACTGGTCGGTACATAAAGCAGACATATTTCAATCCATATGGTCATCACATACATTAAGTAACCACCTATAGAAATCAGCACTTTGAACACAGTCTAGGTTTTACTTTATTTTTATTTCATTCTCCAGTTATTTTTAATTATTTTTTTTTAATTTTATGTATTTTTTATTTCTTTTTCCTTTTTGCAACATAGAGAATTTGGTTGGAGAAGGGAGAGTGAAGGGGGACGGAGGAAGATGGGAACAAAAGAAAACGGGAGAATTTATTAAAAATAAAACAAAAGAAAGAAAACAGAAGGTTCTGCACAACCACAAACAACCTCACGAATTCCAGAACAGGGAAAATGTTGGTTTTTTTTACCAAGATACAGGAAAAAAACCCAAAGATTCACGGCAGTCTGTCCCCTCCTCCGCGCGCTCCATCCCCTCTGCTCCACTGTTCCTCCGTGGGGAGGCATGCATCGTCACGGTGGTCGGTGCTTAATTTCGATTGTTTCTTGATTTTTACTTTATTTTTTGCTGCTGTTGATCATCTTCCAATGGGAGCTCAGCCCCCAGCCCGGCCCAGAGCAGGATCCCACTGTCACCTCCCTGTCCTGCTCCCCGCTGGGCTCTGCTGTAAGCGCTGGGGTCGGCTCCCCCCGCAGCCTCCCTCTGTGCCAGGCGGTTGTGATGGCTGCAGTTAAATCGCATGGTTGCTGTAGCTGACGTAGGTCTGCTTGGTGGACAGTGCTGAAAAGAGAGACAGTGGTGAGCTGGGCAGAGGTGGTGCTATCTGCCCGACCGCCCTGCACGCCGCCCGCCCAGGAATGTGGTGGGGTCACCATCCCTGGAAGGGTTCAGAACAGTGAGGATGTGGCTCTGAGGGTTACAGTTAGTGGGCATGGTGCGGCTGGGCTGGGGTTGGACTTTTCCAATCTTAGTGATTCTGTGGTTCTTCATCCCATCCCATGACCCCGATCTGGTTGGGGAGATGCTGGTGGGGTTTGTTCGTGGATCCAACCAGTGCTGGCTTCCTGCGATGGCACAGAGCTGTGATGGAAGGGCTGAGCCCTATAGACAGACCATCCTGAAGCCCCAGGATGTGCCCCCCAGCCACATCACCTATCCTCTGCAGACAGACCTGCAGGTGCTCCATGCTCCCAGCATCTCCTCCTGCCCCGGCCCTGCTCTGCAGACGGTGAGAGAGGAGTGCACGGCAGCATGCAGCCAGCGCAGCCCCATCCCAGCCTGGGATGACTGCACCCCATATCCAGGTTTGGAGAACACCCACACAAACTCACCATCACCATCCCAAAGCCACCAGCCCTCAGCATGGAGACAAACACAGCAGGGAGCAATGGCTACAAAGCCGCACATGTCCCAGATGCACTGGACAAGCTGCAGCCAAGCCCAGAGCCAGGAAAATGCCACCGAATAAGAAATTGTCCAGCTCTCTGCAAGGCTGTGCAGCTGTCCTTGGGCTGCAACCACAGACCAGGGAGAGCTGTGGGCAGCGATTCACAGCTTTTGGCTCTTCTTGGTGCTGCAGCCAGGCACAATGCTCTGCAGAACCCACTCCACAGCATCCCCACGGATGACAGCAGACACCTTCATCCAAGGACACAGGGAATGCCAGGGCCCTACAAGCAGTACAGAGGTGTCCTTTACGCAACCCACGGGCTCTGCCATCCACACAGGACACCTGCATGCCCACTCTATGCTGTCCCTTTGTCTCAGTGCCTCGCTGACAAATGAACCTCACTGCGGATTTTCGACTGGTATTCCCAGATAACAATTAGATAGGCCATAAGAAATTAGAGCTGACAGAGCTATTTGTTAACTGCAGTGTTTTCATAGCCAATCTGCCCATATCAAAGCCCTTTGAATTATTCATTCTGTTGTTTATTTAAGGATGCGTGACCTGCTGGTGACAGAGCAAAGAACAGCCCCTCTGCCTGGCACTGACAGCCCCTCAGTGCCTCCTGCACCAGCAGCAGTGTCATGCCAGGCTTGCTGCTCTCTGCTGCACACCCAGCTCCCCAATTCCCTATGCACAACACATCGGAGCTGGAGATGCAGCAGACAGGAGCTCAGCTTCCTGCTTCCAGCACATCTCAGCCTTGGAGGCTGCTGCTCTGAGTCCCGCGGGGAGAAGGATGTTCAGCACAGCAACAGAGAGCACATGGGAATGATGTGGGGTTGGATTGTGGATGAGATGCTCTTGGCTGGAGGGAGGTGATGCGCTGATGCTCCTACAGCACCACTGACAGCAATGTCATGGGGAGCCTGGCTCCCCAGATGGGGGCTGCTCTGCTCCCAGTGAGCCCACAGATCCCCACAGACAAAAGGGAATGGGAGGGGAACCCTCACCCACTGCTACGCTGGGGTGGGACCACAGACCACAAGGAGCTGTGACAGCATCTGACAAAAGCAACTTCCAACATGGAGGGAAAAGGGCTCTGACCACATAGCTGCCTTCCACAGCTCACGCTGGTAGATGAAAAGAGTGGATTAAGCAGAGAAACTGCCCTTGGAGACACATAGAGGGCTACAGCCAAGAAGAGCCATTGCACAGGAAGATGTGAACACATGGCTTATACGGATGATGCCAAGGGATATGAAATAGCTCAGACTGGGAAGGGAGTGAGAGCCGGATTACAAAGGAAATCATGGCTATCTGTGGAATAGCAGTTTGGACTCCATCCCACTGATGCTGGAATCCAGAAACTGTGGTGGTGCACGAGGAATGCTAGTATTTCTATGGGGGGTTTCTCAGATTTAGCCCAAATAAGATTTCTCTTCTCAAAGCACCTCAACAGGATTGGCTCCAACCATTTATTCCTCCTGCAAGGCTCTATTTTTGGAAACCCAAATGCAGAACAGTCACACGTTCCCTTTCTAGGGATTTCCCAGGCTTCTTTCTCCACATCAGAGCTGTGTCCCCAGGACAGCCTCAGCCCCATCTGGGTTCTGGGGGCACCCATCTTCCCACCAGACCCTATTATGGATTTCCTATTAGATTCTAACAGCCTTCCTATTAGGATCCTTTCCCAGATGCTCATTGCAAGCGCACAGATTTCAGCAAGCCCTGGTGTCTCATGTAGCAGTGGCAGCATATTTCCCATCCCAGCCACCCACCAGCATTTCCCATGGGATAATGCACATGGGTTTGCAGAGGGGATGGAGGGAGTGGGCAAGATAAGTCCTATCTTATCCATGTGGCTACAGTGATGAAAAATTGTGTTTTTAGAGTGGGAATAAACAAATGGAGAGGGAATCTGCTCTGCCAACAGGCAGGAGATGATGTTCTCTCCCATTACAGATAACCAGAGCACACCTCTTGCCTGCACTCACGCAGTGCAGCGTAGCATGGCTGCAGCCTGCCAGCTGCCCCACCACCACGAGCCACATTACCTTGTGTTTCCAGGTTTTCACACAGCTCTGATTTGGCCTCTCCATTGGGACGGAAGCCTCCTTTCTGAGAGAACTTGTTGGACATGGTGGCCGCCGTCACCACCGCCTTCAGGCTCCGCTTGCGCTTGGGGACATTCTGCTCCGGGTGGAAGAGGATGATGTACACCTTGGGCATGTAGAGCATGCCCAGGGACACTGAGGCACTCAGACTCACCGAGATGGTGAGCGTCGTGGTCTGGATGTACATCTGCAAGACACAAAGGGATGAGCTCAGTCCAACATGGCTCACCGGGATGCGGAGTGAAATGGGTGGCGCTGGTGCCATGGTGATGGGCACAGGGAGGACACTTCATCCCTAGGGCCTGGAGCACCTACAGCCCCACCACCTCCCACCAGGTAATCCCCACTCCCCAGCTGGTTCGTGGGCCGTTGTCATGTAAGTCACATATTACACACCGACGTTGCCTTTCTGCAGTCAAAACTAATTTCACGCTCACTGTCCAGGACTAACAGTGACAGATGTTTTGCAAAATGAAAGCCCATTAATCTGACTGTAGAATAATCCATTTTTCTATGGAAAGTGTTTGGCAGTCTCCTCACAAGCCAGGGGCATCTGAAGCAGGCAGCGACGAGAGGCAAAAGGATCCTTTCCCTCCTCCCATCCCCACCTCTCACCCATCCCTTCTCCATCAGCATCCCCTCCTATGCTGCATGGCTCACGCCTGGGTCTCCCCTGGCTGAGCAGGGAGTGAGCTCCAGGTCTTCACGTGCTTTGTGCACACACTGTTTGTTTTACTCCAGCTGTGCACAGATGTTGGGGCTGCTTTGCAGATCACTAAACAAGGAGGTTTAATGCACTTTCTGAACCTTATCCTAGAGCTGTCTGGTGCACAGGGTTTCTTCTGCTGCTGTTTCATGAGATCTGGGGGGCAGAGCCCAGAGGCATCCACTGGTGTGCCCCAGCTCCTGGCAGCATCTTATGGAGCCTCAGGAGCAAGAAGTTGCCTCAGTGCATGGAAGGTCTATAGTGCTCTGCAGCGATAAGGTACAGGGACACAGTTCTGTCCCATTCGTGAGAGCCAGTGGGAGGCAGCAGCTCTTGGCCAGGGCTGCCATCCCACCCCAGGACCCGCAGGATCCAGATGCAACCATGCAAAGAAACCTCTTGTTTTGTTCTCCCCTTTTAAGAGGAGCCACACAATCCCCAAAGCCTTCCAACTCAGCACAAAAGCAAAAAAAGCACCAAAGCTTGCGGTGAGTCAACTGCAAAGTTTGGTTTGTCCCCAGAATAAAACCTATTGCTGTCACATGCCAGTTTGTTTGTTCCACCTTCTCCCTATATGCACACAGAGCCAATTTAGGCAGATTTTAGAAATAAAAATGGCACTTCATCAGGAAAAGTCAAAACAGCTCTCTGTGCCAGAATATCTGCTCCTTTATTTTATTTTTTCCCCCTACTCCTGCTTCTCTTATTGGCTGAAGCTCTCCAGGTTTTCCCACAAGTGTCCTGGAACAGAACTGCCAGCAGTGAGGGCAGTGCTGGGTCAGCAGCTCCAGGACCCCAATCCCTGCCCTGGGGACCAGGGAAGCTCGATGTGACATCCCTGTATCCCACCATGGATGGCTCTGCTCTCTGGCCCACTGCTCTCCAGCAGATGCCTTTTGGAGGAGCCTCGCTTTGCAGCTCTCGTGTTACATTCCATGCTGTTGACTCCCACCTGTGCCTCAAGATTTGGAGGCATTTCGGCAATCAGGGAGCTCTGCTCTGAGCCCCTCCCAACCCCCCACAGCACTCCGGAGGTCTCACAGGAGCACCATGGCTGCCCTCCCTGAGGTGCCATTTGCTACAAACAGCCCCATTTTCAACAGCTGGTGCTGGTGTCACACCAGAGCAAGCCCCCTTTCTTGGCTCAAAGTGGAATATTTTAGCCTGGAGTCTAAAGGTAACAACAAAGCACTTCACACTGAACCTTTGGCCACACCACAACACGACCATATCATGCAATTTTGGTTCCCACTCTCTCAGTTGGGTTCCAACCCAGGGCCCTCCTTCGCCCTCCACTAAGAACATCTGAGCTGCCCCCAAAGCCCTTTGAGATGGGCATTGTGGTGGCAGAGGACACCACGCTTCCCCCTTCAGCAGCATCCCTTTCTTTACTGCCTGGATCAGAGAAACCAACCTTTTTCTGAGCCAAGATGCTGCTGCATCCAGGGACCTCATCAACCCTAAATAAGCCAGCACAGATCCCCAAACCTAGGCACCAATGACCCACGTTCAGCATCACCTGGCAATAATCACACATTGCAAGAGGCCGAGCAAGCTACGCAAGCAGCATCAATCTCAGCCCCTGCAGTGGGTGCTGGGGAAGGAAAATCCCACTTATCCCTTCCCCAGCAGCACTAAGCAAACTGCTGGACACTCCTTATTCATCCTCTCTCTCTCTTCTTCCCTTGCTGAAAGCAAATGTGATAAACAGAGCACCAGACAATGACACCGCTGTTCAGCTGCTGCCTTATCAGCGCAGGAAATTGTCTCTTTCTTTAGATCCTCTGTTCTTGCTATTTCTGTAATCCACTGGGATCGGTGGGGATAAGAGGTTCTTTTGAGCAAAGGCTTGGGGGACTTGTTGTAATAATATGCCACCTCCATGCAAAGTTGTAGGCACGAGGCAAAAAGAAATAAAAGGAAAATGGGGATTTTCATCCGCATTTGGGGTTGTGGTAGACGGGCTGCACACTGCTGGGAGGTTGCCCCACAGCATCCCAAAAACTCCAGCAAAACCCAAAAACCTGTGCTCTGCAGGGACAGTAATGGAGATGAGTCCAGGCAGCACAGGGGCAGAGGAGAGGGTGGCCCTTCCCATGGGGATCTGAAGGCACCCCACAGAGCACCCCATGCAGCGCCAACACCACTGCAGGGCAATGCTCATACAAACACCCCCAGCTTCCACCCCACCGTGCAGGCTGCACAATGACATTTTAGGACCTTTTTCTCCCTCAAACCACAAACCAAAGTGGAAACATTGAGGCCAGCAGCACCAAGCAGCACCCAACCCGATCCGTCTGACTGCTCCTCTCCCTGCAGCCACCCCGTGCCCCAGGGACGTTCCACAAAGGCACCTACAGCAGCACATCCTCATCCTGAGCCAAACCACCACCAACCCTGCTGGGACAGCTCGGCAGTGACAGGCATTGAGAAAGAGACCACATCCAAGGGGAGTTGGGAACATCACTTTTTCCACCTCTAATCAGCTTGTTAGCAGCCTAATAACAGAGGAGCCCTGCGCGTTACAAGCCCCCGAAGTGAGGCACAGCCTATTGTCGAATTGCTACTTGACAGCCAGCTTTCGGCAGCCCTAAATTATCCCATGACAAGCTGCAGTGAAGAGGTGAGCAACCTTGCGCATAATCTACAATCATTATCATTTCCATCTTTATTACCCACAGTATGCCGAGCACATTAAGGTGGCTTTAAGGGAGCTTTTGTTTTGCAATAATTTCTTAAAAAACCTGCTTTCTTGTTAGTATCTCCCCTGCCATCTCATCAAAATGGAAATGCTGCGAGAGGCTCCATTTATTTCCTTTAATTCTCCTTCACTCCTCTAGCCAGAGCAGGATGCCTTGGTAAGGGATTTTTTAGCTGAGGCAAAGCTCAAGGTGTGAGTACAAACTCGGTGCTCTGAGCAGAGCCAGCACTCCAGGACACTTGCAAAGCCCAGTGCCCACAGCAAAAGATCTGCAGCAAGCCAACTCTTGTAATACGTGCTTCCAAAATGCACTGCTTCAGCAGCTCAGCATCAATGGGGACACACTCAGGGGATAATTACCCTAATTGTGATGGATCCAGAAGGGGAATCCGAGTGGCAGTCACCCTGGGGATGTTGATGCCAGGGATTTGTAGGGAATAGCAGCAGTGAGGTTTATTTGTTGCAGGCAGCGCAGGGCTGGCAGGCGTGAGCTGCTCGCATGTAACACAAACGCGATTCCCATTCTGTCTGGCAGGCAAAGGGGATTTTTTCTCATTCATGAGATTTTTTCCTTTGTTCTCACTTGAGCATGGGTTTCATCCAGGCTGGTAGAGCACGCACTGCCCCCAGCACAGGGAGGGAGGCAGGCGGATGGGGTGGTGGGGGTTTCAGCAGACCCACTGCTCGCATTGCCCATCCTGTGCAGTGCTGCAGAGTGGCACTCAGAGCTCCAGCAGGGCCACACGTCCCATCACAGCCTGTGTGATTCACAGCCACGCTGAGGAATTTGCTGTCAGCATCGTGTTGTCAAACAAACGGGTGTTAATTAAAAGCGCAGCAAGGCGGCAATCGAGTGAGAAGGCACAAGGTGCCGTGTGCCCTGCTGAAGTGCTGAGGGGTTCTGCTCCTCCCTTCCCTCATCTCCAGCTGCTCCCAGCTCTGGGGGATTTCAGAGAGCACTGATTTGGCATAGGAGAAAAGACAGGTAGAGGTCAGGGTTGCTTTTCCTTGGTGCTAATGACGCTGGGCCTGGACCTGCCCAATCCCCAGATGCCCCATGGGCCCATCCTCCCCACCCAGCAGCAGACAGCCTCCACCATCCTTGTTCAGAGAGAAGCAATGGGGATTACAGTGTGCAGAAAAAGGGGGGGAGGGGAAATGACACAAGACAGGAAGGGAAGAATGAGGAAAATCACAAAAAACCCTCCCGAGTGAAGAAGGGGTTTCAAATCAGTGCTTCCTACTACCATATCCAAGCCAGCAAGACCACGTCCTCATGGGTCCCTTCCAACTTAAGATATTCTTATGGTTCATGAAAAAGCATCCCTCCTTGCTCAGCCCCTTCCTGGCAGCCCACAGGTCCACCAGCCACACTGCTCCCCTCCACCTCCCTTACCTTCTCTGCTGACTGCGACGTCCCAAAAAATATAGGGATGAAGGCTAACCACACAATGCAAGTAGTGTACATGGTGAACCCGATGGGTTTGGCTTCGTTAAAGGTCTCCGGGACCCCACGGGTCTTAATAGCATACACAGTGCAGGTGACCATGAGAAGCATGCTGTACCCAAGCAAACAGATGAGGGAGAGGTCCGAAATGTCACATTTGAGGATGCCCCGAGCAAAGTGGGGGTTTGTAGTCCGCTGGTCCTCGTAGTCAATGACAGAGTGGGACGGGTCCACGATGAACCAGATGCAGACGCCCACGAGCTGCAGCGAGATGAGGCTGAAGGTGATGACCAACTGGGAAGCGGGGCTGATGAACCGCGGGGCACTCACCGACTTCTTGCCCTGCTCGAAGATGCGGTAGATGCGGTTGGTTTTGGTGAGCAGCGCGGCGTAGCTGATGCTCATGCCAAGCCCGAGGAAGATGCGTCGCAAGGAGCACGTGCTCAGATCAGGCTCGGCGATCATGAGGAAGGTGGTGGCATAGCAGAGGAAGATGCCCGTCAGCAGGACATAGCTGAGCTCCCGCCCCGACGCCTTGACGATGGGCGTATCGTTGTAGCGCACGAAGGTGACCACCACGAAGAGGGTGGCGATGATGCCCACGATGGCAATGAAGACGGGTACCACAGCCCACGGGGAGCTCCACTCCAACTTGATGATGGGGATGGGCGTGCAGCTGGTGTGGTTCTCGTTGGGCCGCTCGTTGAAGTGGCACCGCTTGCAGTGGAACTCATCCAGTTGGTACTGGTAGCCATCGCAGCGCTCGCAGTGCCAGCAGCAGGGGATGCCTTTCACCAGCTTCTTTCTCTCGCCAGGCTTGCAGGGCAGGCTGCAGATGGAGCTGGGGAGCTGGCTCCCACCCCCTGGCCACAGCATGTTCTCCACCTGTGGGGCGAGATGGCACCAGGCCCACTGGTCATGTCACATCATAGGATGTTTGGGTTGGAAGGGTCCTTAAAGCCCATCTAGTTCCAACCCCTGCCATGGGCTGGTTGCCTTGCAGCAGATGAGGCTGCCCCATCCATGGCTTTGGGCACCTCCAGGGACAGAGCACCACTGCTTCTCTGGGCACCCTGTGCCAGGGTCTAACCACCTTCTGCGTAAAGAATTTCCTCCTAACATCTAACCTGAATTATCTTCTTTTCATTTAAAACCATTCCCACTTGTCCTATCACTATCAGACCATGTGAAATGTCAGTCTATCTCTTGTTCATAAGCTCCCTTTAGGTACTATGGAAAGCCACAGTGAAGTCTCCCCAGAGCCTCCCCCTCTCCAGGCTCCTTGGCCTTTTTTCATTTAAGAAGTGCTCCAGCTGATGCTTGAACCAAACACCTGCTGAAGTTCTCCAAACCACAGCTTTGGCGGCCTGACTTTGCATCCAGGTGTCCCTTGAGTCTCAGATGCTGCAAGACAATCCCCTGCCTTACCTTCAGGTGGAGGTGGTCGGTCCAGTGCCCGATGACTTTGTACTCAGGAGTGGAGTTCCTGATCTGGTATTGGTAGATGTCGTAACGTCCTGGTGCATCTCCATTCTCATTGAAGGTCACTGGAGTCCCAGCAATGCCTACAGGAGAGGGACGGCTCAGCACCCAGATCTCCCAGCAGCACAGAGTGCCATGAATGATGGCATCCAAGGGTTTGGTGTTTCACCCCAGCATGGGATCCTTGCTGCAAGCAGCCAGGACAGTGCCAGCCTGGGCTCCAGGTGAAAAAAGTGCTTAGGAAAAAAAAAGGAATGGAAGAAAAAAGGAATATAGAGAGGAGAAAAGGGAGAAGAAAAGGAGAAGAAATGAGGGAAAAGAGAGAGAAGTAGGGATGAAAAGGGAGAAAAGGAGGAAGGAATGGGGAGAAAAAGAGGAAGGAAGGGGGAGAAAAGGAGGAAGGAAGGGGAAGAAAAGGAGGAAGGAAGGGGGAGAAAAGGAGGAAGGAAACCATTCCTGAGCCTGAGCTGGTGCAAGGACCATTTGGGGAGCCACAGATCAGCCCAGCAGTCCCACCAAGAGCTGGAATTCATTGGTGGTGCCATGTAGGGAGTGCTGTTACAATGGCCATATTACCACTTCTTTTAAGAAAGAGTGAAAAATAGTTTTAATGTTAAGTCAGCTAATAAACACTAATAAAAGGAGGGAAGAGAAAAACCAAGCAAGAGGGAAAAATAAATAGGAGACACTGCAGAGGAGATCAGAGAGAGGAGATAAATAGAAACAATCAGGAGGACAAGACAGAAAATGTTTATTAAAGAGGTGGAGCAGAGGAAAAGATGCATTTCCAGAGATCTGAGGACAGACAAGGGCACAGCAGCATGATGCTGTGGGACCTCTGCCAGCAGCGATGCAAGACAGCAAGTTGTGGGTGCTGTGTCACCCATAGCAGAGGACACCCAGCAAGCAGGACTGGCTCCCCAGAGCCCCAGACCTGAGAAGTTGACGTTGCGGATGTACTTGAGCAGCTCCACGCCATCCACCGGGTCCATCCTGGGGCACAGCCCCACCTTGCCGGGGCACAGGTTCTTGTGCATGTTGTGCAGAGCGTGTCCCATGGCGTAGACGGCGTCGATGACAAACTGCACTTTGCCCTCCTGTTCGTATGAGGAGTCCTGGCCAATCCGCTCCCGGTCTGCAGACACACAAAAGCAGTGCTGCTTATGGGGCACGCAGCTGAGAGCCCACATCCCTGGGCAGGACACAGGGCTGAGCTGTGTTTTGCATCCCATCCTCACCCTCTCCACCATTGGCACCAAGGGGCCATCCAGGCGCCCTCCATCAACACTGCTCGTCCTCTGTCACATTCCCAGTCCCCCCGTCTCCCTGTGCCCCCCGTGTTCCCCCCAGCAGCCCCACTCCTTCCTGACACTGCAGCCTCCCCTGCCAGCCCCGTTTGCAGGATGCTGCAAGGACCCACTAATTGCCAGCAACAGCTGCCTGCCTCTCCTGTCATAACCACCCTTAATAGGACTGGAAACATGTTCATCATTTAACAGAAGACATCGATCGATGTAACATGCTGTTAATTACAGCTAAGAAAGCATCTCCCGCGAGGTGATGCTGCACCAGGGAGCCCTGACCCCAGGCAGATGGAAGGAGAGCTTCCCTGCCAGCAAAAGGCACAGTCCTCATCCTCCAAAGAGGCACAAGCATTCCATCCGAGGGCACCCAGAACTCATCCTGGTTCCACAAAGTGGAAAGGATGATATTCCCACGTCCCCATGCTGGGATGGGAACGAACCACCCCAGACATGAAGGTGCAGCTGACAGCACACTGAGGCAAATTGATAGCGAACTGACCAACAAGAAAATATGATATCAAGGAGAGGGATTTATAGCCCATGCTTCAAAGTTATAAAAATGCTTTTGGACTTTGTGGGGATTACTCATGCGAAACCCGTCAAGTTATCCTTTCTTCCACGTTATTGACAGGGGCTATTAATCTTCTCACTCAACGTAGGGCCTCTCCCCACATTCATCTCAGCACACAGACAAGCCACTCTATCTTGTCAAGATAATTACCCATTAAAGCAAGGCTGTAGCAGACTGCATGCAGGCGCTGAGCCCCTGGGGGTGTCCCAGCCCCAATGGTGCCCCCGAGCGCCCACCCACCACAATGGTAATGGGGCTGATGCTGAAGGAGACGATGTGGAGCAGGACGCTGAGGTTCATGATGCCGCGCTCCCGATGCGGAGACAATAAATCTCCGTGAATCTCTCTGTCGATCGGGGCTGCAAAAGCGATGTGACCTCGCTGATTATAACAGCAGGGTCGTGCATTGTTCTAAAGGGCTGATAATTAATTTTCAAGTGCATGAGGGGCCTCAGCGGGCACCTCTCCAAGGGCCATTCTCCTCCAGCAGAGGATGATTTCAGATCAACAGTAATTCTGAGTACATCAACTGACACCAGCATTCGGTAGGAGCAAAACAAACTCACACCCTTGGGCTTCATGAGCCCACCAGTTTGGAGAAGCTGTGGGGTTTAAGGAAAGCAGAGTCCATCTCTGTCATCAGTCCATCTCTGCCCCATTTGCAGGAGCATTTTGTCATCTCATTGAAAACAAACAGGGCAAATCCTGCCCCGCTGCTCCTGTTGGGGCTGTGCTGGAGAACAGCCATTGGTTGCCACAAAAAAGCAGTGCCATACTGGGGACAGACTGGAGAGGAACAAAACTGGGAGAAGAACTGGAGGACTGGTAGGTTGTCCTGCTTGGTGGCGGGCACCTTGCAGCCTGGTTTGGGGATGCAAAAGCAAAGTTGCCATTTCTCTGCATGGTTTGGGCTCCTCCCACACCAGAAGCTGAAAAGTCCATACAACTCCTTCTGCAAAGCCATCCCAAACAGGTGTTTGCATCAGCCTTGCAAAGCGGAGTGCACAGCACTGCATGGGCTGGTTATTTACTTCCGGCCCTGCGTTTTTTCCCCTCTGTTCATCTGCCAAGCAAATGTTTGGGAGATAATTTATTTTTATAATTATTTATTATTATTTATTATTATATTACTATTTATTAATTATTTATAATTATTTATTAATTTTCATAATTTATTTCCCGACAAATTCAGATAATTTAAAGACAGTCCCTAGGACATTTGCCACGTCATGGTTTCAGCTGCCTTCACTAACACCTTGGCCCTGAAATATCGCTTGCTTAAATGCTACATTACTATGAAGATGAAGACATCAGTGCTTTGCAAGACCTCCTCATGCATCTCTCAGCGCTGGGCATTCCCTGATGCAATCCACAAAAGTCAGGAGCTCTCGGATACCCAAGAGTGTGGACATGAGCACGTTTTCTTGCTGTCCATCCAGCTTAGCAAACTCAGCCCACACAACAGACATTAGGCTGCTTGGAGAAGCTGCAGTTCCAAAAAGCCCTTCCAAAAGAGGCATCCCCAAATCAGATCCTTTGGGAAACACTTTCAAGGGTGAAAGTGCTCACAGCTGTGAAAGGAGATTAAAAAAAAAGAAAAAAAAAAAAGAAAAAACAGCCCCTTTGTGATCAAACTGCACAGGCAAGGCCAGGTCTGTCACCCCATGGCACCAGGCTCCGATGTCCCTCCCAAGGATGTGGGGACGTGCCCGTGTCCTCACGTCCTGCCAGCTGCAGCCTTCCAGCCACCAGGCTGTTATCTGTCTTCAGCCGGTGCCAGGCAGGCAGTAAATCTCTCCCATCTCTCAGTAAACATGTCACCTTCTTGAGCCTCCAAGCGTCACCTCGGCAGCAGCGCTGTCAGCAAGACAGATCCCCTGTTTGCCTTGTTTGCTGCACTAATCCCTACAAGCCCGTGTGAGCTAGAAGTGGCTAAAAACACCCCGTGGGGTTTAAGGAGAAGGTCAGGAGCTTGGAACAGAGCTCTGCTGGGGTCAAAGTACCCCAGGATGCTCCATTCCCTGCCTGCAGCAGCACAAGGGTGTCTGCAAGGAGACAAGGGCAAACAGCACGTTTCCTGGGGTGTTCACCTCCTACCACACTACAATCAGATGCATTTTGCTGCCGGCAGTGCCTTGTCTGGGGCGTGCTCAGGTGAGATAGGAGCTGTTTGCAAGGGAATAAGGGTGCACCGATGGCTTTGTGACTTTCACAGGACAGCAGCGCCTCTGCCAAGGTGAGAAAAAGGCAGGTGTCCGAACTCTAATGCAGAATTTAGCCCAAAATGTGGGTGATGTGGTGCCTGCAGATGATGGAGTCAAGGGAAGGGAGAAGCATACCGATTGTGAGAGGCAGCGAGCAGCCCTGGGACCAGGACCGAGCACACACAAACCAAACACATTCCATGCATTTCCTAGGTCACACACAGCACACAGGGACGGTCAAGAGCATTTCTGGAGCATCATTCCCACATGTTTTTTTTTGCTTAGTCCCAAAAGCCCGCTTAGCACCGAGCCCACCACTGGTGGAGCACCAATTGCCATGCAACTCCTTGAGCTGGGCTGGCAGCTCCTGAGCAACAAAGACATGGATGAGTTGAGAAGTCATAAAGAGAAAGCAAGCAAAACGCTTCTCATGTCCACCCTGGGCATCATCTTCACATCCCCACAGAGCCCACATGACCCTGCAGCATCCTTACTGCTGGTTAGCAAACAAGCAGTGCTCCTTACTGGTGCACTTCTTGATGCTGCTGCCCTTCTTCAGCGCGTGTCGGCTCAGCTTGCAGTGGAAGTTTTCCTCCCAAAATTCAGCAAACCAGATGTTGCGGCGGTTGTTGTCCAGTGTCCTGCTGGAGAAGTAGCGATCGAAACCTGCCCGGGGAAGAGGGGACAGAGGGGGTGAGCCCCTGGGCTGGTAGGGAGGTGCTCAACATGACCCCAAAGCCACCAAGCAGAGGGAAATGTTTTGGGAGCAATTGGGAAGAGTAAGACTGCAAGCAGTTTCGTCCCCGCGGCCACCCAAGCAAAGCAAGAAGGTGAGATGGGAAACTGGGAGCATTGCTCTGGGAAATGCAAAGCCTGCCTTAGCACAAACCTTGTGTTGATGGGATGCCATCAGGAGGGCAGCTAAGAAGGAGATGAGCAAACCATTGAGCACAGCTTCTTACCTTTGACAGACACACGCTTGGGCAGGATGGTGACAGAGCCCTCAGCCACTTCCTCCAGGTGCAGCACTGGGGAGATCTTGGAGCCCCAACTGTCTGAGCCCATCCAGATGAAATGCCCTGTCTGGTTCGCCCTCTTGGCTGCTTCCAGCACTCTTCTGCAGAGAGAAAGCAACGGGTGCTGCTCAGGATTGGGATGCAGCTCTGTGCCCATCCCAAAGAGACAGCAGCATGGCATGGGAGTGAGGCTCAGACCCTTTTGCATCTCCCATTCCCAACACTCCATCAGCACCACACACACTGGGTACATGGGAACAAACCACTGCTCCGCTCCAACACTCTCCATCCTCTCCAGCCTGGGCACAGGCTGCTTCTCCCCATTTGCATATTTGCTGACTTCCCCCTTAATTACCCAATATTAAAAAAAAATAATCAGGTTATGCTGCAGCAGGAATTAATTCAGCGGCACCGGAGAGCTTGTGTGCTCCCAGCTCTGATCAGCATGTCTGAGAACGGGAGAGAGCCATCCAGCACTGCCAGGGCCTGGATGAGGGCTGTGCCATGCCCTGGTTAAAGCCATGCGCTGCCACGTGCAAGCTGGTGTGTGAAAACCTCTCTTCACCCAATATAATCCTATTTGGATGGGTAAATGCTTGCAAACTCCAGTTAATGGGGCTTGCCATTTGCACAGCAAGGTAAATCCCCTGTTTCTCAACACACAGCCACGTAAATGTCACGTTTGCAGACATTTCTATTAAGGAAGGAAGGAAGAAACTCGGAGCACTTGCACATCTGATGTAAACTGATTTAAAATCGCAGTTTACCCACATTTACATAATGTTTGCTGATTAATAAATTAGATACTTAGGAAATCAGGGGTAGCTCCATGTGAATCACTCTGCTCCATCATCAACAAGAGTTCCATAAACACGAACAGGCTCTGAGCAAGCCGATCTAGCTGCAGATGCCCCTGTTCGTTGCAGGGGAGCTGGACCAAGTGGCCTTTAAGGGTCCCTTCCAACTCAAGCAATTCTGAGATTCTAAGAGCTGCAAGATGTCGCTGCATTTGTGGAGCTGCTCATCAGCTCCAGGCATGGCTGCAGGGCTGGTGGGCAGCGAGGAGGGGACTCCAGAATCTGCACTGGTGGGCTGAGGCTTTACAGAGCCAGCAGAATGCAGATTTCTCTCTGTTGAGCTCTGCGTTGCTGCAGTTCAATGGCAGAAAGCAGCCAGGTGGCCGGCTGGAAGTCAGCCCTGACAGATCTGTGCCACGCTGCAAGGTGCATCCCCTCCATGTTGCACACATATCTGTCCCACCCTGCAGCACATCCTCGCCCACCTCCCAGCCCCTCTGCACCTGATGTCATCCTCGTTAGCGAAGATGATGACCGCCCGTGCGTGGGAAGTCTCCAGGAGGCGGCGGATGATTTTGTCGAACTCTCCAGGCTTGGGCTCCCGTGGGATCTTGACGGATTGGGCCACGCACACACCGCCTGCAGCACAGACAGCCCAGCAGTGAGACCCTCCCAATCCCACCCCATGTTTACAGCCCCATCCCACAGCCCTGCGACGCACAGACGTGGGACTCCGCAGCCCACCTGCACCACAGCCAGGGGCTCCTCCCTGTGCCATCCCCCGTGGTCCCATGCGCTGACCCAGCTGCGCCAACAGAAGCTGATGTTCCCCAAACCCACCCAGAGCCACCCCACGGGGGGTCCCACATTTGGAGGCTGTCCCGCAGTGGCTGCACCAAGCCTGGGGATCAGCATGGGAGCACAGTACACACCATGGGGGACACGCACACGAGGCCTCCCCAGTACCTTTCCTCTCCTCTGCAGCCTTCAGTGCATCCTTTCCTCTCATCCAGCATCTCAGCAGCTCACCCCTGCTTCCCACCCACCATTTCAATCCACACCACATCACACCCCATCCCCAATGGGCACGAACTCCCTATCCAGAGGCTCAGGATTTTCAAACTGCCACCGTTCCCATGCAGAGCCATCACTTCAAGCACCAGTGCTGGCTTTTTGCAAAGGGCTCTACTCATCCAGTGGTCAAATACAGGACTTAGGAAGAGTCATTAATGGGACACAGCCCTGGCAGAGCCCTTTGGCTCTGGATTAGCAGCACAACCACGCAAAGGGATTCATTCCCTTCCCTGCAGCCTCACTCCATACCCAGACACCCCCAGGTTCCTCCTTCTGGGCTGGGGAGATTCTCCTAAGCCAATCACCCAGCCAGCCATGGGGCATGTGCAGAAGCAGCTAATTAAAATTAAAATTAAAAGAGACAAGGAGAAGCTGGCAGCTGGACGCATCCCTGCATGTAGCTGCTGGGTTCCCAGCTCCAAAAAGCCAAGGCCCTCCTGCTCCAGCATTACCACAGATGCCAATAAAGGGAGAGAGATGAGAGAGAAAATTAAAGATTGCAGGACCTTCAGGATGTAATTGATGGTGTCGATTTGCATAGCAAATGACACAGCTGATATTCACCTGCCACTAGAAGATCCCTGCTCAAGCAAAGGTCAGAGCAATTAGCAGAGGGTTGAGATTCCCCAGATTACAGCACTGGGGAGGGGTAGGAGGAGGACAGGAGCCACTGGGATGGGAGGATTCAGTCCCTCCAGCAAAATGATGTCCTTTGCAGCCCACTGGCGGAGAGGGGCTGATCCCGTTGGGCCTGGAGCTCTGCTCACTGCATTCCCAATGCACCCAAACCGCTGAGACGTTTCATTTTTATTCTTTTTCCCTCCAGTAAGAAGAAACTGGGCCAATTTGCTGCTTGTTTCCCATCTGGGGAACCAGATGGATGGAGAGGAGGGAGTTGGATAAACAGATTCCCGGACAGCTCGGCGGGCAGCAGCCGGCAGTGCCAGCGGGACAGACACATCGCTGCCCGGGGATGGTGGCTGTGCCTATGGAGCCAGTGCAGCTTAATTACAGTTTCCATAGCAATAGAAGAAGAAATTCCAACCAAAGCAGTAGTTTGCAAACACCAGAGCCTTCCAAGAGCCCGGTGCGGTCAAGCGGGAGTGCACACACTTGTGTGACAGTGCTGAGGCCAGCACAGCACTGTGACGCTGCGATGCTCCCAGCAGTGCATCCTGCTCCAGGCTCGCACAGCGCTGCATGCTCCTGCACACAGGTGGGCAGCACAGGGACACGAGGGTCCAAGTGTGCACTCAGCATCTGCAGCACCAACCTCTTCCCAGCGCGCTGCAGCAAATCCAGCTTTGGGATTTCCCCAGGGCAGCAGAGAGGGGTCTGCGTTAGGTTCTTCCCATGCATTCATTCTTCATTTATCTGCTTTGAGCAACACCAATGCCCAGAAAAATAAGGGGACAAACGTTGCCACCAGCAAGGGCTTGCTGCTTGCATGCATGGGATGAGGAGGTGGCACAAGAGATGGGCCCATAAATAAATAGGAAAGGAGAAGAAATCAATGGCAATTCAGAAGTGGCTGAGTTACGCAGCAGCTCCGTTAAATCACACTAACGAGGAAGGTAACAAAAAAAGGATACGGGCAATTAGGGCATAATGAGGAATTTATTACTGCAGCGGCTGGAGAGTGCAGGGCACGGGAGCGGGATGCAGCCAGGACAGCAGGTGGGAAAAGCAAGGAGGGAACTCTAGCAAGGCTGGAAAACTGCCCTAAGGACAGACAGCCGTGTCTGCAACCGCTTCCAGTTTATTAAAGCTAATTGGGGCTCTCTGTACTCCAAAATAGCAACACAGAAGTGGCCCAGGTGAAAGCCCCAGAGTCCTCCTCCACCCATTATGCAAACGCTGGCAACACAAATTACGTATTTTTTTTCTCTTTAATTAATGGTCTGGAAAAAGAGGCCAATGGCAGTGGGGGAGGCTGGGGCAGGGCAGAGCGGTGAGCATCTCAGTGCTCCAGCAGCCCCAGCTTTTAGTGCCTGCATTATTCATAGCACACACACACACACACCTCCCTCCTGCTCTGCTGTAGGGAGGGGATTTGCCACGATGCTCCTGCTGTCTCCATGCAAAAATCCATTTAGTCAAAACACTCCTTTATGGCAAAGGAGCAGGGGAGGAGACGGTGATGGCGATGCAGTGGCTGCTCTCCCTCCTCCAGCAGCGCAGTGTTGCGCCCTGCCTGTGGGGCCCTATGGCTGGGGAGGGGGCAGGAGCTGAGCTCTGGCAACACCTCTCCTCCCCCAGTTTTGAGGGAGAGCCAAAGAGGAGCAGGAGACTGGAGAAGCGCCCACAAGCAGCTGGGAGATACCCGATGTGAGGATGCTCGACTGCAATACTGCATCCTGTCATTGCTGACGTGCGGCACCAAAGGGTGCAGAGCATTTGCAGCAAGAAGCCTCCAACATGCAGCACGGGTCCAGCTGCACAGTTGCCATGGGCTGGGCCAGCACTCCTGCACCCAGAGCTGCAGCTCCCAGCTGGGACAGTGCAGACCCACAGCATCAGAGGGGGAAATACTCAGCAAAACACTCAGCACGTGGCCATGTCCCCCTTCCCACGGGGTCACCTCCCAGCATCCATTGGCCTCTCTCCCGGGTACTCTCCTCATTACAGTGGGGTTAACACGTGTTGTCAAACACAGGTCAGGGTTTAATCTCTACCATTAAGGGCTCGGTGGGAGCACAGCTGCTCCAGGAAGCGCAGCGCTCAAGTGCCCTCTTGATTGCAGGTAGATAATAAGCTTTTGCTGTCGCTAACATACACCATCAATCAGGGAGCGCTTTGCTCGGGCTCCCTGCAGAGCTGCAAAGCACTGTGCAAACGCATTGGGTTGGAGAAATGCGGGGGCTGACTCAGCTGTGCTGCAAACAGAGGTGTGTGGGGACCCCTCCGGGCTGGGAGCGCTCCCAGGGCACTGCGGGGGCATCAGAGCGCACACAGCATGGCTGTGGGGGTATGTTGTAAATGGCTTGGCATGAGGAGCAGCAGCCCCGTGCTTGTTTGGCACAGGGATGTGCAGGGAAATTGCAAACCCATAGCCAAGCTGGGGCAGGAGGCCAAAGCGGGGCACCTCTGGCTGCTCCATCTCCCAGTAGCCCAAGTTGCCACCGGGTCACTCACTGCCACCACTCTCTTGGCGTGGACCAACAGGGACCACCCACCTCCCACACAGCCATTTCCCACATCCCTTTCCTAAAGGAGGCCAATTAGACAAGGTCTCCAGGCCCAGAGGTTTAATTGGCAAGTCGGTTGCTGCAGCAGCTGCCCTTGTGTTCATTGTTCACATCACTTCCAAGCCTCCAGGAGCTGATGTGTTGGAGGAGCTGTTAGGGGCACAGCTCACTCTCTCATAGAGGCAAAGCTCCTGGCAGTGAGGACAGCTTTGGGCATGCAGGATGAGACACCCCACTCCTCACTGCAGCAGCTCTAATCACTCACTACTGCACAGCCTCATCGAGAGCAATGCCCAGAGGGGACTGTGTTACCCCACAGCTCCCAGTCCCACTACTGCCAAAGCACCTTCTCTAGCTTCGTCATGGGCAGAGCTGGGGACACTGTCCCACTTTGTCACCCCAAACCAGCCCTGATGCATCCCCACATGCAGCAAATCTCAATGCACGTCACTGCAAGACAGGCATCTCTGCCCATTCCTCCTGGGGATGGAAAGCAGGGGGCAGAGGCAGCTCTCCCAGCCCAGTCCCACCAGACCAGTGGAATCCCAGACCCCTCAAATGCTCTACATCACATTGAGCCTCCATCACAGGAGGCTGCTGGCACTCACTGCCTGCCTTGGCCTTGGAATGCGTTCAATTGCCGCTCTTCAGTGCTTTGAAATCTCATCAGACGTTATGGATCTGAGCAATTTGTGTTTGCTTTTCAACCGCCCGCGTTGCTGGGGCTAAATCAGTAATTAATAAATTTGCAGCGGGGAAAAGAATGGGAAAAAAGCAACTCTTCCCTTCGCACCAGCCTGGACCCAGGGATGCTGCACAGTGTTGGCACTGTGGGGTTCAGTGCTTCTGGGCAGTAAGACAGAGCACAGCCTCAAAGCCTGGGGTTACTGATGGGTACCATCCCCACAAAAGGACCACCTGTAACACACACCCTGCTCTGCTCCTCCCCTCATGGTCCCCCTGAGACCACATTGAGGACAATGTCCCACCACGTGTCACCCCATTGGAAATGGGACAGGAGCCAGCGTGTGCTAGAAATATTAACAAGCCATGTGGGCTGCCTGCAAAGCCCAGAGCCAGCTGCCAGCCAGCGCCCACCTCGACCACAGCTATCAGCTCCTCTTTGTCCTGCTGCTCTCCTTCCCCTGCTTTCCAGCTCACAAAGGAATTACAGCCAGATGTGTAACCAGGAACACAGCAAAGATACAAGGTCAGCCTCATGTACAGGCAGATTGCAGGCACACACACTACCCAAGCCCTGGGTCTGAAGGGAGCTGGGGGACATCGGGGGGTTTTGGCACCCACCAGCAAACAGCTTGAGGACAGCAAGGTTACTTTAGGTGGAGAAACTGAGGCAGGAGGCCATTCAGAGCAG